GAACTGGGGATTGAACTCAGGTCCCGAGCTTGCCAGGGAAGCGCTTATTCCACTGAGCTATCGCCCTGGCCCCCACAAAATACTTTTGAGAGATATTAAAGACAACATATAAATGGAAAGACATTCCATGCTCATAAATTAGAAGACTTATATTAAGATGTCAGTACTATCCAAAACCTATAGATACAGGGCCAGGCATATAGCTCAGCAGCGTAAGCACCTGCTTGGCAAGTGCAAGGTCCCGAGTTCAGTTCCTGGCACCAAACAACCAAAAAATCCCCTATATATGCAGGTTTATTGCAGTCACTATCAGCATATCAGTGACCTTTTATCAGTCTTAAATTTATATAGAATTTCAGAGACCCTAAGTAGCTAAAATGATCTTGAAAAGGAACAAAGTTGGCAGACTCACACACCTAATTTCAAACCTTATGATAGGGGCTGGGGAGATAGCTCAGCGGTCTAAGTGCCTGCCTGGAGAGTACAAAGACCCAAGTTCGATCCCCAGTAATGTATGCCGTGCCAGTGTCGGAACCCAGGCATGGTAGAGCACACCTGTAATCCCAGCTCTGGGAAGTCTGAGACAAGAGAATCACTACGAGTCCAAGCTGCATAGTGAGACTCTGTATCCAATAAATACATTTTAAAATTATTTATTTATTTTGTATTTTAGGGATGGGTCTACAGGGTGTTCAGGGTCTCCCTACTAGATCTGACTCATAATGATCCACCTGTTTACAGCCTCCCAAGAGCTGGGATTACAGGCGGGCACCACCATGCCCAGCCTCAATTGCTGTCTCAGCGTGCCCCGGGGACAGGACGGGTGTGGCAAGCCCCTGGACCAGCTTGCAGGTGCTTTAATCCACTGAGCTATTTGGGCGGCCAAAAATTTTTAAAAACCTTATTACAAACTACTCATTAAAATTGTGATATTAAAAAAATAATAAAATTGTGATATTAAGATAGAAATATAGATCAATGGAACAGATTTGACTCTCAGAAATAAAGCCGCATATGTAGACGGTCAACTGAATTGGACAGGGTACACAGGACATTCAGGGGAGACAAGAGTCTTCTCAACTAATGTCACTTGGAAAACTGGATGTCCACCTTTGACAGAACGGCTTTTGATCCTTACAGCATATACAAACATAAACTCTTACTGGGTTAAAACTTTTCTATTTCAAGAGATTACCAACAAACTAAAGATGCAACCCCCAGAATGGGGGAAACTATTTGATACAAGACTGACATCCAGAATACTATACATAAAGGACTCCTAAAACAAACAAAACAAAGTAGATTCAAAAATAATCAAAAGACTTGGGCACTTCCCTGAAATTATACAAATAGCCATAAAGTACATAAAAATGCCTATCACTAATCATTAGGGAACCGAAAGCCTAAACCACAATGAAATATTACTTCACACTCATTGGGGTGAGTATTATAAATCACTGAAAATGATAAATGTCTGCCAAGTTGAAGAGAAGTTGGAACCCTTTTGCCTGGTGGTGGAAATGTATAAAACTGCACGTGAGATTCCTCAAAAAATTAGAAATAAAATTACTATGTGGTATTGTAGCTTCATTTCTGGGTATCTACCCAAAAGAAGTGAGCATAAGATGTGAAAGATCTCTATAAATCCATGTTTATAAAAGCATTAATGATGATAATGTGCCAAAAGGCAGAAACAACCCAAGTGGACATTTGTGGGTAAATGATAAATGTGTTATATAAATGCAATGGACTATTATTCAGCCTGAAGGAGGAAGAAAATTATAACATGTCCTGTAGCTTGAAAGGAACTTGACATTACGCTTAGTGAACCAAGTCGTCACAAATGGATAAATACTGTATACTGTAGGAAGCACTCAGGCAAATTCCTAGAAAACAGAACGGTGGGCAGCAGGGGTTGAGGGGAGGTAATGATATAGAAAACTTGAATATAGTGCATTAAAGGTGTCCACTTTTTTATATACCTTCATTTTGTGATGTAATCACCATAACCATTAACATACCCTTCACACCACAAATGCTTTTTTTGTGGTGGGAACCCTTAAGATCTACCCTCTTATCA